GAGCAAAAGTCATCATGAAAGTTTCATCACAAGGGCTACAAGATCCTGAGCACCATGAACCAGAGCATGGAAAATCTTTCTGTTCTTAAAGCAGGCATATTCCATGGTTAACAAAACACGCCTTGGTGAAAAGAGAACCAACAAAAACAAAGCACAGATCTGCTGGCCTAACACTCCAATACAGAGAAATCCCTGCCCTATGTCCAAGTATGACATTCAGAGTTTCCAAGGGTCCTAATGCCATCTCCTAATAAGCTATCTAAACAAAAACCAACAATCATCTTAAGCGTTACAGCCAAACTCATTACATGTTAAGACCACAAAAAGTTAACTTCAATTTGTCCTTTCAAATGAAAGGATATTGTACTTTCACTTTGCTAACAAGCTGCATAGCATATAGTATTTTTTTTTTTTTTGCCCCAAACAACAAATAGCTTAGCATTTTTTTTTTTTGGTGGCAGAACAACTAAGCGTTTCATTTTACCACTAAACATACCTCAAAGTTATCATCAAACCAATGCCAAAATAATTGTAAATAGATGAAAACTGGTTATTGTACTAAAAGATAATTTGATGCTACTAATGCCAACATAATTCTTCTGGGGTCAAAGCTTCTCTTTTTATCAACAAAAAACAAATTTTATCATCCCAACAAAAAAGAAATGCCACCAGTACCTACTTTGTGAAGGCAGATTGACAATTGAATTGGTAATTTTAATTTCTCTATCCAGTATGAGCACCTTAGAAAGGTACAATGGGCGATTTCAAGCTAGACACATCCGTAACTGCTTCCTGTTTTCAAATAAAGTAACTTCCCAATAACATCTTCATAACAGGGAGAATACAGACCTTTTGCCACAAACGATGCAGAACAAGCTACCAGCCCGCCCTTGTTCTTTGTACCTATTTCGAGTACCTAATTTTTCATTCAGTATCTTACTGAAAGATAGGAAGAATGCCTGCACCAGTTCCTTAAACTCCTTGGACTCCTCTAGCGGACCAGACTCAGAAGAACTCACCCAATTTTTTGATTCCTGTGTTTCAAATGCAGACTCATCTAGCTCTTTGCTGTTCTTACCTCTTAACCAGACATTTTGTGTAAGAGAACATCTTTTGTTCAAAGTCTTTGAGTTATCAGAGTCCAAAAAACCATGTCTTGGTCGACCTTTTAGAATTCTTTTTCCAGGTTTAAATGGTTTGCCAGAATACTCTTGCTTGTAATCCACTGGATCACAATACAACCACTGATCATCAGATATCATATCTCCTCCGTAGTCTACAAAATCAACTTTTCTTCCTGCCCCTCTATAATCGTTGTGATTGTATTTCAAAGTTTTGGATGGTAATACATTCATGGCATCTTGATGATTCTGCTCTTCATCTCTTTGATTTTGATATTCTGAATTATTCTGATAATAGGTGCTACCTAATAATGTATCTCTAGTTCTATGCCTACTCCATTCTTCATCAATATCATGCTTCCGCTTCAATGACCTTCTTGGAGGGTCATAGCCATCAAGCTCATCCAAAGAGATGGCTTTCCTCCTTAAGTCCTGCATTTCCATCTGATATTGATTATCAGATGATGACCTCATGCTTTCTGCGCCATCTCTGTTAGAAGTACAAGTAGTTCTTTGTGACAAACCATCATTAGGAGCAAAATTCAGCATGGAAAATTCTGTTTCTCCTAAAAATCTATGATCAAATTCAACATTAGCACTCTCAGGTTCCACGCGAAGTCTAACTAGTTCATCTACTGCTGGTAATGATCTGTTGGGAAAACGGTACTTGGAGGCCAATTGACCTTGTGAAGATGGATTGTTCCAAGAATTGCTGCTTCTAAGGCCTCTCTGAGAATTGGCATGAACCACATCTTGCCTGTTTGGCTCCATGACACTTGAATTTATGACATCTCGTTGGTAGTAGGCCACATCAGCGTGATGACGCCTTCTTCCATACAACTCTTCTGATGGATAAATATAATCATCATTCTCTTGAAAACCATTTTTAGAATATAGGTAATCCTGTTCCCTACCCTCAACAACTGAAGGACTAAATGCAGCCCTCTTGTAGCGTAGCAAATTGTCATGATTTGCTTTAGAATTTCTTCGAGTACCTAAACTATGCCTTTGGTGGACTTCAGCAAAAGTATACTGTTCTACTGGTTGGGCTGAGCTGCTTGGGTGAACTTCCATAGGCAATGACCTGTTATCATGGTAAGAGCCCATCATATTTTCCCTTAAGCTTCTCGAAGAAGTAGCAGCAAATTCCTTAAACTGGGAGTTATCTTTGGAATGAGATGCTGATCCTTTGGAATAAGAAGCATCTTCCAGAGCCAACAACTTTTCAAGCAGAAAAGGGTCAGGATACCCAATGCTTTCATCATTAGATCTAGCATTTTCTAGATTTCTTGACGACAGTGAAGACCTTCCAGCATCTTCAGCATGTCTTGAGATGTATTCTACGTCTGACTGGGACCTATATTCTTTGTGATATGTACTCCCTAAAACCCTCGGTTTTCCACTCGATAGCTGATCACGGGCATTGTGCAAAACTCTTTCTCGATCAACATTATCTCTGAAACTACTATGGTCCAAACCAGGATCAAATTCATCTCTGTAATCCAAAACATCACAAAAATGGTAATTTCTTCTCAACTCATCCCTGCTGGAAAGCCTCTCATCATAATTGCGCCGCTCCTCATACATTCTGCCAAAACGGGGTGAGTGGGAGCCAAAATTCTCGCTTTCAGCTCCAATGTTCCAACCACCCACTTGCCAACCCAAATCCCTACCCTCCTCAAATGACCCACCTCTCCTCTCTCCACCTCCCCCCACTTTACCAGGTGGGCTTAAACTCCTCCGAGGTCGAGGGGACCTTTCCATTACCTCCCTACTAGGCATCAAATAAGGGTTGATATCCGTTGGGTCCTTCAACCTAGCTGCCCTAGATGACCTTGTTCCATGGTCTTCCTCCCTTCTAGATTGCATTTTTCCTTCCCTTAATATTTTGCAAAATAGAGCTTGACCCAGTTGTCAAGCCGCCTTCTAAATTCCAATTCCAACCTTAAAAAGTCCAAAAGACGGTAAATACTGATTATAATTAACAAAAACTAGACGGTTTCAATACTTTCTTTTTTCCAGATGGCAAATACATGAATCTGCAAAGAGTATTTGAGAGAGTAAATTATAAAGTGAGATAAGAATTTTAGAAAACGCGAGAAAAGGAACCTTTTACACGGAGGGCAGCATCGATGATTTCCATCCCCAACAACAGATGTTGCCTGTCCTCTGGCTGTCTAATCTTAGTCCAAGTTGTGAGCTATAAAAAAAGAACCCTCAACGGCTGAACCCATCTAGTTCCATATATGCTCGTGTTCTACGAATCCCCTACAGGAAAGTGTGAGGGTTTCAACTTTCATGCGTCAACTTTCAAGAATGCGACAAACTTCTTGGGGAATACGTTCGGGATAGAATTTTGTTCAACACGTAATATGGGAGACTAAATTGCTTGATGATCCAAAAAACCGCACATAGGAAATATCGAATAGTTAGTTCAATCAAAATAGTTAAGTAAAGTGTGTCGAAAATTGAATGCGTCTTTTCAAGGATAAAAAAAATGAAAGAGAACAGGGGCTAATTATAAAAATTCTCCTAAGGTTTAACTAATTTTACACTTTCTCACCTAATATTAATTTTTTTCACTTTAGCCCATAAATTGTTAATCAACTCTAACGTTATATAATGAAAATGTCACTATCTATAAGGGTTAATTACAGTAAATCTCCTTTTTAAGTATAGCGCATTTTGTACTTTGTCTTATAATATTATTTTTGCTTAATTTATCTATTTGTCTCTATAATCGTTAGTTAACTCCAATTCATTTGTACCATTCAAGACAAATAATGTTTAAAAAAATCAATATTCCTAACAAAATAATTAAAATAATTATACATTTATGGATGTAGCTTAAATTTTATCCCTATAATTACAAGTTTTTTAGATAAAGGAAAATATCCAACTTATTTTATGTGATAAGAGGAAAAATTTACTAGTGCAAAATTAAAGTATTAAAATATTATTAAAGATCTATCGATTAGGTTGTTTGGATTAAAGATTATTTGAAATTTTTTTCAGAATAATAGCACTTTTGCTATTTGATATTTGCAAGATAAAAAAATAATTGAAAATATATTTATGATGTAACAATTTTTTTTCAAAAGAATTAGCAATCCACATAAATTTTAATAGCATCTAAATATGGTATATTAAAAGAATAACCTTAGAAATTTTGAAATCCAAATCAACGATGTTTCTATCTTCTTTTAGTATAACCAACAATATATATATATATATATATATATATACACACACCACACACACACTCCCATATAAAAGAAATATCTAGCTCTTAAAAGAAAAGTTTACCTATATGCACATTCACAAACAAAAACTGATAATATCTCGATCGTTTTTAAATTTTTAAATATATTTTAAATTTTTATTTTTTTAATAACAATTTTTATTTTTCATTATTATGTCAAATTAGCGAGATATTTTCCTCAACCCAAAAAAGTGTAACTATTGAATGAAATTTAACTATGAGAAAAGAATAATGTTAAGGATGAAATGTAATAGTGACTATGCCTTAGGGAGAGTTTTTGTGAACAATGTTAGAATTAATTAATAATTTAAAAAATAAAGTGAGAAAAAATAACATTAAAGGATGAAGTGCAAACGTGACCATACGAGTTTTACTTACTAGCACAATGAGCAGAGTAGCAGACTAAAACAAAACAGTTACGTGTGAAAAGTTAAACCCCACAGTAACGGCAAAAAAGTTCATTAATTTGATCATGAAAAATAAATCATAAACAAATTTGGGGTGATGTGTAAATCTTTAGATCTGAAAGGGCGTCATTTTAATTAACCTAAAATTTCTTTTCCCAATAAATCTTTACTCCAAATAAAGAAAAGAATAGAAAATATCAGGATCTTAATTACTACACAGTAGTGACAAAAATTCCCTGTTTTTACTTTTTCCCCCTCTTTCGCAAAACCCAGCAAGATTGACTCAATTTCCTGTTTTCCACAAAGCTGAGCCATACCACGTACCTCCATGGAGACGCGATCCCAGTTGAAAACCCATTACTGGGTTCGAGCTTCTCCGTCCGATTTTGGTGGCACACTTCCCCAACCCCGCAGGCAATGTTCCCTCTCTAATTTTCTTGAATGTTACATGGAATACTTGTAACACATGAATGGAAAAACTCAACTAGTCTTTGTTTGAAAATTTTTCAGTGGGCATACAGCTGTGAACATTGGGAAATCAAAGATTGTGGTGTTCGGAGGCTTAGTCGACAGGAAATTCCTCAGCGACCTCTTTGTTTATGATATCGGTATAATTACAAATTATGCTGTTCATGTTTTAGTTCAATTTCTTGATTTCCAACTGTTTCTTTGCCCCCTTTATTCTTTAAGTCTTGTGCAACTGCATAGCTAAATTGAGGCTCTCGATGATGTATATGTCTGGAATTTCCAGGGCTGTATAATGTACGAATGTATGCTTTTTAGTTCAACAATAACAGGACGTTTATGCGAAATTTAACAAGGGTAATGGGTAAACGTGAAAGTAGTTCAAACCTCGTGTGGCTCGGCGATTGCGTGCCTATTTTATTTAGTCAGGCTTTTAATGGGTTTACTAATTTATCAGTATACTTGTGGTTATACAAATTTTGATAGTTCATGTGGATGCAATGTCTGTGCCCCTTTGACGCTAAATAGTAGTTTTGTGCTTGAATTTACTTGTCCAACAAAGAGTAAGATAGGGCTTTGGCTCACAAACCAATCTGGATGCGGATGCTACTGTTTGAGCTGATTAAGGCATTCATGGTTGGTGTAATTGCTTATCATGTGTATTTCAAACACTTTACATGGGGCTTTACTAGCATAGTGATGTGATGAAAGAGAGGTTTTCAAGTGTTAATGTTGAAAGATGGTCATTGTGAATATGTCAGAGAACAAATTGTGGTTTCAACCAGAGTGTACAGGCACTGGTTCTGATGGGCAAGTGGGTCCCAGACCACGAGCATTTCATATTGCCGTTGCAATTGACTGCCATATGTTCATCTTCGGTGGGAGGTCTGGAGGTAAAAGGTCAGCACCTCAACGCCTTTTTGTTGCGTGTCTATACATCTGTCTGTTGGTAAACCATATGTGGATGTAGTCTCTTAATCCATTAAATTATTGGATTTGCAGGCTGGGCGATTTTTGGGTCCTAGACACTGGTAAGTATTTTCATTTTGTAAATTTGATTGATTTTTGAGACCTATCTCTTCTTGTAACTTGTGAATGTATTCGAAAGTAAAACACCATGATTCCATATCTCTCTATTTTTTTGAGTGTTGTAGATATTTGGCAATGGTCAGAACTTACCAGCTTTGGTGACTTGCCTTCGCCGAGGGATTTTGCTGCTGCTTCAGCCATTGGCAATCGTAAAATTGTAATGTTAGTTTCAGCTAACTACTTAAGTCAAGTGATTATTGTGTTAAATTGAGCTGTGGGCCTTGAGCAGGCTTAAAAAATGTGCAGGTATGGCGGCTGGGATGGTAAAAAATGGTTGTCAGACGTCTACGTTTTAGACACAAGTAATGTCTCAATTTAGCATTCTTAGTCCATTTTATTTCTTAGCATGCAAGGGTTAAGTGATGTAGCAACATGTTTAGTTCATTTGAAGGCATAAAGTGGTTTTTTTGCAGTTTCACTTGAGTGGATGGAGTTATCAGTTTCTGGAGTTTTACCCCCTCCAAGATGTGGACATACAGCCACTATGGTAGAGAAACGGTTGCTTGTCTATGGTGGCAGAGGTAATGGAGAATTGAGGACAATAGACCTTAAAACGCACATCTGGTGCTTGGAATTAGTTAATTCTTTCACTTTCACTATTTTGCATCAATTGTGTCCTATTTTGGATGTCAAATAGATTAACAATATGAGAGGGGTTATTACACAGAACTCCCCTGTGGTATAGTGACCAATAATGGAATAGTAACAATAGTGGGTTATTTAGTTTTGTTGCCTTTGATAATGTCATTAATGTGAGACATTTATTTCAAGTTGTAGGAAGTAAAAGTTAACTCTGAAGGTCAGAGTTTTGCATCAGTTGTATCCTATTTGGATGTCAAATAGATTAACAATACGAGAGGGTAATTACACAAAACCCCCGTGTATAGTGACCAATAATGGAATAGTAACGATAGTGGGTTATTTAGTTTTGTTGCCTTTGACAATGTCCTTAATGTGAGAAATTTATTTCAAGTTGTAGGAAGTAAAAGTTAACTCTGAAGGTCGGAGTTTAATTTTAAGTTCAAATAGTTCATCTTTAACTTCTGATACTGGCGCTGCATGCAGGTTGCCGCTGATTTCCTTTTATTTTACCAAGTAGACTGTTAGATCAATTTCATTCTGTCCAGGTTGAGATTGTGCTTAGATGCGTATGATGTACCCATGGTCAAATGGTTATGTATTGGCTGTAATCCAACATATAGATTAGTGAACTGCTTTTATTTTTTATGCCTTTCATCTTGTACAATTTTATGCATTATTTTCTCATAGTGAAACAAATTTTTATCATTATACGTTCGAAAAAAGTTCCTCTACAGTCTTCTGCTTTATTTATTGTTTGAGATCTTTTGTAACATGATAGTACTGCTTTTATTCTAGCTGGGCTTGTCGATATAGTTCCTTGTTTAGTCATGCATACCAGAGTGACATCTTCGTTCTGATAACTAAGGTGTCTTCTGAACCACTTATTGGTGGTTTGTAAATGACAGTAGTCATTTTTGTCTCTGGTAGGTGGTGGAGGACCAATCATGGGTGATCTATGGGCTTTAAAGGGTCTTATTGAAGACGGTACCTCCTGTTTTCCTACTTAATGGTTTTTTTTTTGTAGCTTTACTTTGTTGCTTCTCTTGTGAGTTAATCCTTTTCTCAGTGCTTGTGCTTTTTTTTTTCTTTTTTTTCCTTGAAGGTGGGGGGAAGATTTCCTCCATATTCTGTGTTAAGGGGCATATTTTCTGTTTTTGGTTTTTGTTATGAAATCATTGTGAAGTTTACATTCATCATTTCTGTGCCAAGTTTCTTAAATGTGATGTTACTTTCAAAATAAACAAAAATCACATTTTGGTCCCCCCTGTCCCCTTACCTTCCCCTTTTGAGTAACCATCTTTGATGTATGGGGTCTTACTACACCACAAGCAGAGGAAAAAATAACTATGTGACTTATCGAAGAGTTGTTCATCTTCCAACTACTTTACAAAAGGATTAGAGAGTGAGCAATTTCACATATGTGACTTAAAGTTTGTTACAGTCCAGGTTGGAGTAGGCATTTAATGCTTACACTTCTTTTAGGGGAGGAATATAAAGCATTTGCTGCAATTTACTTGAAATAAAATGCCAAATTGAAATACCTTTGCCATTTGTATCTCTTAAGTTCTTTATTTTTTCTTTTTGACTTGAATTTACTATTCATAGTATTCACAGTGTATGTTTGTTTTTCTCACATCTTGTATTCCATGCCTGTTAAGGCCTAATGGTACATAATTCCTTTGATATTGCTCTATCACTATAAGCAGTTGCAAAGAAAAGCAATCAATTAATTTATTTGGAACAATCACCTGAGCTTTTGCACTTGTCCTGCTGACGCCTGGTAAACCTTACTGGGGTTTCTAGGAATAAACAAGAAGGAAGTTATAACAAGTTAGGAAAGCTTTAAAAAAAGTGGACATGGAAATGGAAGTAAATGACACATTGTCTTTTCTTGAATAAAATTTTGTTTGTCTGATGCCTTGCTATATACCATCACATGTTTGATCCATTGTGCTTGTCAAGTTAAACTGATTAATGTGGAAAACAAAAAGAAGCAAGTCTTTTTGGATGTATTCAACAATCTTTTAGTTCATAATTTATGACGTAGGCAATTGTATGTACCATTTCAGTAGATTGTTAGTTGTATTTTTGTGGCAGCATATTAATTTCTAGGTGATATAACATGTCACCTTAGGTGGTTATTATCCCTTGTTGTATATTCTTAATCTGTAAAACGAGTCCGCGGACATATTTGTCTTTTCTTGCTTGAATTGCTTTGAAGCTGGTTTTTGGGTGTGCATCAGTGCTTGAACGTGTGTCATTTGGGCCCTTTGTATTTGAAAGATCACATTAACAGTTGCTTCTATATTGACACTGTGTTGTAGTTTTCTTGGCATTATTTAATCATCTCTGTTAGGCTTCACAGGATATATTTTGAAATTGAAGGCTTATTAAGTTGTGTTGTGTCTTTTATTGTGGAAGGAAGAGAATGAAAGTCCAGGTTGGACTCAATTGAAGCTTCCTGGTCAAGCTCCTGCAGCCAGTTGCGGGCATACTGTCACATCTGGGGGGCCTAATGTAATTACCTCTGAATATTTGAAATTGTAGACGCTCTCTTAACCCTGGTGAACTTGCTTTATAATTTCTTTTGATGTGTAATCTGGATATGAAACAGAAACTCTATGAAGTTTGAATGATCTGTCAAGTTGCATAAATTTTCTTAGACATACCACAGCTTTTGATGCCTTCACAATTACCAAGAGAGGCTACACTTGAATATTTTAATTTTGGAGGGGATTACTTATATGATTAGTTGAAGTTAAGATAATGTCCAACATGAGGGCCTTTTGATTGATTAATATTTTCATGTTGAACTGTTGAAATAGAATCTCTCCTGTACAGTGTCAATTACCAAGGTTGATCAAGTTTGAGTCCCTAATATCTTTCCGTTTCCACTAAGTAAATGCAGAGTTTTTTTTTTTTTTTTTGGCCAAGTTGCTACAGCAGAATTTGCTTTACTCAGTTATTGGACATTTATATTTAATTTTTGCTTTATAAGACTATCAAATAGGCAAGCTTTTTGAAAATCAAACTCGTGCTTTTAGCTTGAAAACACAAAAGTAGCGGATGCTTTTCTTCCTTTTATATAATGTATAACTTAATAGGAGAATTGTAGAATGCTTGGTTTTTGATGTACTGCAAACATGTTCTGCTTTGGGTGTCTTAGTTAGCCAGCAAATCAAGCATTAGGCCCCAATTATTCATGCCATTTGGGTGTAAGTTATATCTGCCTCCTTAATGACCAGTTCTGGAGTTTTAGTTTCTCCAGTGTGGGAAGAATAGGCATATGTTTATTTTTTTGCCTTCGAGTTGTAAATCTATGTGTACTTTAATCTCTTGTCATCCCATAGACATTTATGTATTTATAGGCATATTACTTTAATATTAACAGTTTCTCCTTGTTTAGACATCTTGATTTGATTACTTGGATGTCAGATTAAGCTTGTATTTGTGGTACTTTGTTTTAAACCTAAAACATCCTCTTTGCAGCTTTTATTATTTGGAGGGCATGCAACTGGTGGCTGGTTGAGTCGCTATGACGTTTACCACAATGATTGTGTTGTTTTAGACAGGGGTTAGTTACATTTTGTCAAATTTTTGGATCAGGGGAGGTTTCCATTTCCTTGCTCAACCAATTTTGAGCTTTGTTTTGTTGAATGCATCCTTGTCCTCTCTATCAATCTCTCTCTGTCTCTCATTGATGTTTGTCTTATGTTCTTCTGGCTGTCTGCTTTTAGTGTCTGTACAATGGAGACGCCTACCAACTAACAATGATCGACCAGCTGCTCGAGCGTATCATTCCATGACTTGTATTGGTTCACGATATTTACTATTTGGCGGGTTTGATGGAAAATCAACCTATGGTGATTTTTGGTGGTTGGTTCCAGAAGGTACTGTGAATATTAACATCAGGAATATGTCTCAGCTCAAATTGTTTAATAAACTACTCTGTTGTCTGTTTCCTGGTTCAATTGATTCAAGTCAATCATGATGAATAAGAGTAACTTTAAAAGAGGAATATTGATTTTTTTCAAGTCCAGTTTGTAAAATGGTTTTGGTCTGTCTTGACTATTTTGACTGGTCATTGACTTGGATGATCTGAAGATCATGTTAAGTTCTAACAGCACTTTTTCTTTTAACAGTCTTTTATGGTTCAGATTTTTCTAATGCCATCCACAAAAAATTGAAAGAGGTCTTTTTGGCTGCTCTATGTTTTGATAGCTGCAATTTAATTCTTTTCTGGTGGTCAGATCACAGATGATCTGGATATTTTGTGTCTTCTGTGTTAGTGTTTCTGTAGGATAATATGGATTGCTAATAAAGAAGATTGATGCTCTTTAATCCATCAAACGATATGGCATTTCTTCAGGTCCTATTTCTTCCTGGTCCGTACTCTTTCATTCAGCGAACATAGATAGACTGGAATTAGATAACTTTTGAGTAGGTGACGGGACTTGACACTAACGTGAGTGGATTCCTTAATCATAGAAATTTGGATATACTGAAGGATCTATATTCTCAGAATTGCATCGAAAGTTAGAAGTTTCTGTTTCGCTTAATCATCATAAGCTAATCATGGATGAGCTGGAGGACAGAGAATTTGCTGAACTGGCTTCACAAGTTAATGGAGAAAAGTTTCCCAGCAATGTACAGGTTAAAGATATTTTGATTGTATGATTTGCATTATAGTTGGTTACATCTTCTAAAACATGTGTTGGCTATGCACGACTTAAACTTTGTTGGTTTGGTTGTGCAGGCACTTCGTCACCATTGGAAAATGTCCTCACCAGAGTCTATACAACTGAAAGAGCTTAGTCCCTTACTTCGTGACTACCAACGCCTAATTATCCGTCATCATCTGTAAGAATAAGCAATTGCATATTGTTACTCTTTGGTCTAACATCAATTGCAAGTCTTTAGAATGATTTGTTTCTACTTATTTTTTGCATGCTTTGCAAAGTAAATTCCTGAAAGTATTTTTCTCTTCAGAGTTCGCTGTACAACAGTACAATAACTAGTCAGAAAGGTAAAAAATGTTAAAAGAATAGGATTAAGATTTGTTTACTTTGTCTACTTTTCCCTGCTTTTGCGAGAGAGAAAATGCCTGCTTGGTCTACTTTGGTTGGCCTAATGAGAAATATGACTATGTCAAGAAGAGAGACCTGCTTTGCTACAGTGGGGCTAATTCATTCAATAAGAGTGATTTTTTCGTCTTTTTCATATTTAGCTTTATGACTAGGAATAAATGCTTCAATTTACTTAAATTTAACATATTGATCTAATTGAAGTAGAACCTAGTCAATTACTTCTCCTTCTGTATTAATTCTACATGAATCAGAAGCCAGCCACTAACATATCTCTTTTGGGTACCATGCTATCTTTTGTATCCTTTTATAACTTACCAACTGGGAATTGTGAAGAATCTAAACAGACCCAAGTACAATAATAATTGGCATAATTGATCTGTCTTGCGGTAAGGGTGTACTTCATTATTCTCCTTGAAAAGCTTTCTTTTCCCTCCCCCTGATAGTGCACACCATGTAAGCTGTCCTTTTTACATGACAAAAATGCTCTTTTTTTAAATTTACTCATTAGGTTCAGGTAATAGTTGCTTTAATGATTGTGGATTTATGGAAGAGACAATTGCAGGACTTCTAAAGGAAAAGAGAGAACAATTCAGCAACTAATGATTAAATTTCTAACTACCATGTTGTCTTCATATGAGAGTTTCCCTTGCTGGGTAACCATTTTTTTTATTCCTTTTTTTTTGGTGGAAAAAAAATTCTTACTTTTAAGCAATAAATAGAAAAGACGAGAAAAAATAACTTGAAGTGAAGTTGGGATGGTGATTGTTTCTGCTTGTCGATAGTAGACTCTTCATCAGGGCTGACCTTGTCATCAATTATAAACTAATGCCCCAAATCTTCTATGAACTTTTACAACATTGTGGATTAAAAATCTGTTCTGTGAAGCTGATATAAATGCTCTGGTTCTTCACATGAATGACTGGTCTTTCTACCATTTCTCTTTGACAGAAACAAAGTTGATTTGAAGTCACAGCCTGTGGAATCTGGCTTTCCTGAAAGAGAGACTTTCCGGTACTATCATATTAGAAATGCTATGCAGGTATTAGTTTCTTAAAGCTTTCTCCTGCTAGTCAAATTTGTCGTATGCAGCATTTGAGTCCTGATGGCTTCCATTCATTGCTGCATTTGAGAGGGGTCTGTCTTCAGCTGCCTTCCACAGAAAATCCTTCATAGGACCAGTGTTTTGTAAAGTTTTCTATGGCAAATGACTACAGTATGTATTCGTTTATACTGTAATTCCTAAGGAGGCAGAAAGCATGGGTTTAATGCACCATATTAAAAACTGAACTTCATTCCTTGTTGAAAACCAAAAAGAAAACTATGCAGATTAAGAAGAAAATTCAAGAAAGAGAAGCACCCTTAAAAGCTACACCCAGTTTTGTCCTTTGCAAAGTCTCGTGCAGTGTATGCATAGGCTCAGATAGTGTGTCTGCCTTTTGTTTAAGTATTTGAAATAGATGAAGGAGAGGACAGTGGCAAAGCCTCACAGCCGCTTAAGAAAATTGGAATATCAGGTAGGGGCACCGTGGCAAAGGTAACATAATTATTTTACTTCTGGTAAATTTCGCGGCACAATCGAACTGAAGAAATTTGATTGATATATTGTTGTCTGGCTGAAATTGATTTTTGTAGTCATAGCATATTAGCACAAACCTTTTGATCCTCTCCGAATTGCAAGAAAATTGGTGAAGACCGTCCTAGTTTCAGAATTGTGGTATCTTATATTATAAGAAGTATAAAGAGTATGGTACTCCATACAGCTTTGTCTGGTTGAAGAATTACTTTGACACAGATTTGGTTTGCATGATTTATTATCTATTTATTGGAGTCTGTTTAGAAAATTTTCAAACGGAACTGGGCCCAGATCTTTTTATGGCCTTAAGGATGTTATTATCAGAAAATTGTGAATTGGAGAAATGGGTCTAAATGCCTGACGTGATCACTTATCAACATGGAGAATATGGCTGTGAATATTATCAAGGGCCTTCGATTGAATGTGTCCTTTCTGTCTCTTTTTTCTGCTGATAGATGCTGTATTTTACTTAATCACACGCACTAAGAAGTTCACATACATGGAGTCCACAACTTACACAAGCTCACACTTTCTGAAGTTGGTGCATTCCCAGGCAATGAGCTTCTTTCTCTGCTCAGTATCATTAATATTTTCTTTTTGAATTCTTTGCAGCTGCGCATTGATGATATCCCAAGTTTACTGGCAGAGTACAAGGAGCTGTTATCATATGTAAAAGAAAACTGAAAGCTTAAACAGAGTTCTGTGAAGCATTGTGAATTGGATCTTTCATTTTCTAATTGACTTGTTAGCGTATTAGATAGCTGTTCATTCCAAAGCGCCTCGCGATGTCTGTTTTCTTCAGCTTAAACAGACGACTACATATTATACCTATTTGTGAACTGGCGGAGCAGACTACGAGTTAATGGATCTCCTCTTTGTGCAACATTTCATTTGTTTTAGACTAGCGAGGATAGAAAAGTCAATGCAAAAGTAATGTTAAAAAAAAAAAAAAAAAAAAACTTGTTCTGCGACTCTCTTTTATTTCGGATAAGGTGCTGTGACTTTGTTGAATCTCAATTTTTAGGCGGAATTCAGGATTGCAAATGCCAACTATGTATCTTGATTTGTTGAAGTTTGTATTAGAAGCTGTAGACTGGCTTTATTTCCTTCTCCTTCACGGTGATGCGGTGCGGGCGTTGCATATTTCACAACACTCCACTCACTTTTGGCTACAACAACCTTGCAGAAAATCAGCTCCCTCAATATATAGTTGTTGAGGCCAGATTTGCTTATGCAAAACTGGATTCCTGACTAGAATTCTTTACACCACACAGCCTACACATACACGCATACACTGGCAGCACTCAAGCGATTCAGTACTTGTTATTATGTACCCATTAATGCAGTGTTCTTCTAGTAATAGACTAATAGTTAGCAAGATGCTTCCTCGTAAAACAAGAAAAGGAGAAAAGGGAACACAAGTTGGCGCCAATACATAATACTTTACAGAAACTCTTTATGGCAGAATTTGACCAGTATTAGCGGGCAGTGCTGACAAATTTGCTGAGCTCCTCAAGCTTTCTCATTCTCAGTTTCTCGCTTTCGTTCACCAGCTGCAACGTCATGAGGCGGGGAGGAAACAGCAGAAAGGAATCAGGATTAGATCAACTAGGACTTGTAAAACTGGAAAAGGGTGGATGAATATACAGTGCCTCCAAATGGAGACTGTTTCGAATTCGAAATCGATCTTCACCTCCATTAATGTGGTCGTTAGTTGGGCTTTTTCGTTGCTTTTCTCTTGGAAAATATCCAAAACTTCCTTGTGTTCTTTCTCCTGTTGAGCGTTTCACACCACTCGTTATATGATGCACCAAAACAATATGATGGATTATAATATATACATGCCTGATGCTCAATTTACCTTCTTTTGGCAGGCCTGTCCTAGTGATTTCAGTTCTCGATTGACCAAGTCGATTCTTTTGCGGGCAGCTGCCACTTCCTTCTTCATGGGATCCGTCAAAACCTCAAGCTCCTGCTAGTTAACAATTACCAAGAAATAGATGATTTCGTGCTAAGTCCAATTATGAATCAGAAAAGTAGTTCGAGTTTCTTATGAGTTCTCCACATGGATTTTAGTTACCTCCCATATCTGTGCCAAACGCCTAGTTTCTTCCTCAGCACGGTTGAGCTGAGACTCCACCCTCTCTTTCATCTCCATCTTCTTCCTCTCGATCTCTTCTTCTCTAGCTTGAAATGATGCAATTGCCATCTTCGCCATCTCCTCATCATCATGATCGTCCATCGATGACCTCCCGCTGCTTCCTATACTTGCAATGTTCTTCATTCTCCGAGTACTGTAGTACCGGTTCGGTTTCTTTCCAAGCAAACTGGACACTCCCGCAAGAATTAAGACATGGGAATCATCAGTTGGTTTCTACAGCCTTGGGTTTCTTTCCTTTTGTAGAGTGTTCTCTTTATCTACTTTTGCTTTCGCTTTAAAACTTTCTATCTGTCTATCTCTGATCTCTTGCTTACACTTGAAACTATTTTGGTAAAAGCAAGCCCTTTTGTGAGTGTGTTATTCTCATCATCTTTAAAAACAATTGCAACTGTTTTGAGGAGGACCAACATGGACGCTTAATCTGCTGCCGGAGAATTATGTACGGATTTTGGAAAACCACGAGAAATACATGATTTTTTGTCCTGCTATTTGTTGCATAAATGAGCTTAACTATTGGCCATACCTGCAAATATATTGGTACTATCCCAAAGTTTGCTTGAAGCATGGGAAAGTTCGTTGAAGGCCAACCAGCTTGTGATTTTATCGGATTCAGTGTGACCATATATCAGGTAAAGAGGCTTTGTACCTTGGCTCAAAAGCTAAGGCAGGTTAAAAAACAAAAGAATAGGAATCCAACTTTTTATTGCGACGAGACGAACGAGTTTAACTTTGGTACAGGATTGGTAATACAGGCTTAGTCGCACTGACTTTGTCGGTACTATTAATGTGTTCTTCCATCCTTCACAAGGCAAATTCTTTGGTGCCCCGCAAGGCATGGTTCGGCCGAGTCGTTATTGAAATGGAGCTTTTCATTTTGATATCAGGATAAGATGACTTTGAAATGCACGAATCATCGAGAACTCAGTCAAGAAGTCTCCGACAAGGATAAAGACGATCGAATCACACCGAGTAGTTTCGACTCATTCCGAATCAAAGTCAAATCCAATAAAAAAAAAAGTACATTTTACAGATTTTTTTTTATTAATATTTCTTATTTTTTTTAATTATTCACAATTTTTAGAATATTAAATGCTTCAAAATTTACGTCTCGCTGAAATCGTGACGATATGTTGAGACCGATGTAAAACAGTTGGAGCCGTGACCAACATTTTGAGTCATGCTGCGAGGGTACCTTGCTTTTCCAGTTTTTCGCATGCGCTGACTAGTAACAAAAGTTAAGAAATGAGTGTCAAAAAATGTTAAATTGGTACTCACTAAAGGATATGGTGCTTATGTGACAATTAGTGATTTAATTTCTGCATTGTCGAATTCATGTGTACTAGGACTCTAGGACTCTTTTTGTGATACTGCTACAAGTTTGGTAGATTGGGGCGTTGGAACAATTTAGATGTAGCACTATATGGGCGCACAATCAACTTGTGTTCTAACTTGAGCAAAAGCATGTACAAACGTAGGCTCGTCTCGTTTGAATTGCTATTTTTTAGAAAGAAAAATTATATTTTTTATGAATATATTTTTTAATTAATTTACTTATGTCACATTCATTAAATTATTATAATATATTTTTTACAAAAATTTTAGAAAATAACAATTCAAGCGGGGTCCACTGCACACAAGGAAGGCGTGCAATTTTAGTTAACCTGAACCATACAAATTTGGAATTCGGATTGGTGAATCCAATCGGGATAGTGAGCCCGCGATTCTCCTCTAATCGTTTTAAAGAGGAGCAACTACAATAGACCTTTGGTTCAGTGGCTCGGTATTGTATGCCTTTCGGTATTTTGTGTAAATTTCAAGATTATACATGTACATTAAAATTTTATATTCATGCCTACAACCAATATAATTCTTTTTTTTTTTTGTAAAATTATATGAATGTACGCTAAATTAAATTAAATTAAATTACATATATAACAACAACCACGACAATGACACCTGAATCTTAATCGTACTTGCCCTTAGTCCCTCTGCAAGGATGTTTGGTTAATTAAAAGACAGTAAAATTTACTGACGGTCAGCGAAGGCTACATGGAATAGAGATAAGACATGTAAGCTAGTGCTGCACAAACGAATTTCTTGTGATGATGATGATGATGTTTGACAGGATAGAAATGCTAAAAAAACATTTCTAAATCACTGAGTTGAAGGATTTTTTATTAAAACAAATTCTAAGTTATCTGTAACGTAAACCCTAACCCTGACCCTTACCGTAAGTGTAACCCTAACAAAAAATTTTCTTTTTTTACTGAGGAAGAGGATTTTTTTTAAAAAAAAAACATTTCTGACCGTTGCGCCACGTTGGACCGACGGTCAGAGGATTTTAAAAAAAAATAAAAATTTCTGGCCGTCGCGCCATGTTGGAGCGACGGTCAGAAATTTCTGACACCTCTGACCGTCGCTCCAACATGGCGCGACGGCCAGAAATTTCTGACACCTCTGACCGTCGCTCCAACATGGCGCGATGGCCAGAGGAACTTTAAAAAAAAAATTTTTGCTGCCCGTCACGCCATGTTGGAGCGACGGGCATACAATTATACCACCCAGCTAAAGAACCACATTTGACGGCTAATTTTGGGAAGCATCAATATTTCAATCAATTAGCCTAGATTTGATCTTGTTGACCATGTGGTCCAATTTTGCCACATTTTGTATACAGGCTTTATCTAAGTATTTTCAATGAGGCAATGGCACGGAGGATTCAAAAAACGATAAAAACTTGGATAGACTTGATCTTTTAGACGGTGTATACCAATTTTGCAACATTTCAATTCTTGGATGGGTGACATACTATATAATAAAATTTGGGTAAAATTTGGATCACATGATCTGCACCTGATTGAATCTATCCTAGTGTTTTTAGTGGGATCACAGCACAAAGGTTTCAAAAAATACGTACCACTGTTTCTTGTTTGACCAACTAGTCATATGTCTCTCCGAGGAGATAAGAAAAAATGTAAAATAAACACCAATTTTCCTGTGGCCGATGGGTGACACCTGATCGAGTTTTGAAACCGGCTCTATCTTTCCGATAATACCCTTAGCACATTCACATATTCACCAATTTAGTCTTCTCCCAATGTACCTGTTGCACATAAGACAAACCCTATTACATTTCACAAATCCAAATAATTTTTCCTTAATTTTTCTCTTTGGAGAGAGAAATTAAAATTCTCAAACAACGAATCTGCAGCCCCATCGATCAGAATATTGCTTCAATTTCAAGGCAAGGTAATCCAATTGTTTTTTTGGGGGCAAATTTCGGATTTTCGATATTAAGCCCTAATTTTTTAATTAGGTCTCGTTTGATTTTCTTGTTTAAGCATTTAATTTCTTCTTCGTTAGTCTATAATGGGGGAACCATATGCGATTTTCTGGTGTTTTTCCTGTATTAAGCTCCTGCTTCTCTAGGATGAGTTCCCCTTTTAACCTTGAGCATAAGTTGATAAAAATTTTAAATTGATCATTTTTTAAAATCTAAGACAAAGGGTTTTGATGGATTCTTGGAGTAAAGTTATGTGCATATGTGGAAATGGTATTCCTTTTTTATTTTGGATTTTGATTGTTGTAGGGGTTGGGGATTTGATTGTGGTTTATGTGCTGAATTTGGTAATTTTTGGCATCTACTTGAAATCTCGGTTTAATCCTTCAATATTTGGAATTGTTTACTTAAAACCCTGATCCTTGTTAGATGGAGGAAATGTTTAGAAGATAAAGATTTTAACTTCTATAGTTGGGTTTGGAAATGAAGAATGTATGGTAAGTTAGTTATTTAAGACCTTTCCCTGTTTTCGGCAGATGAAGAATCAATAGCTTTCTAGTAACTTGTCCTTTTCGCATAGTTTCAAGAAATTATGCATCAGAAGCCATTCTCTAGTCTTTTAGTCAAAGTCTTGTCATCCAAATTGTAGCTGTGGTTTGTCAAGCGATAAGGGAAAACCTGTTATTAGTTACAATGTCAGATTTCTTAGTATAATAGCTTAGGGGTGATAATGATAAACAATGTCTCTGTTACTTATCTTTGACCATTATTTGACTCGCAGGGTTGTGCAACTTGTGGTCATATGAGATCTTACAGGCCATCTACTTTGAATGCTCATTATAAGATGAGTTTTGAGGCTATGCGAACGAAAGAAAAGAGTAAACCTGAGAGAAGAGTACATGGCGTAGCCATCCACGATGATGCTGGACGGAAGGACTTCTGTGATATCTCTTTGAGGATGCTGAAGAGAGCATCCCCCTATAGCTCAACTGTTTTGGATGCATATACTGGAACACAGAATGTTAATGCTGTAGGTAGGGAAGGTAAGAGACAAAGAGTGGATCAAGCCACTTTCAGGAGAAAGGTAGATGCTTTTGCTTACCCGGGAGTTAGTCCCATTGAGAAATGCACACACAATACCTTTTACAAAGGAGTAAGTGGATATTATGACTTGAACAGAGCTAAAGTCAATACTGCTGTTACTGGCTCTAATATTGCTGCGAGTTCAGAAGATAATGATTTTGATTGTGATGCTTCTTCTGTCGGGAGTTGTAGTGCTAGCAGTATGAGGGCAGATAAGTTTTCTAATTTTGCTGTAGCAGTTCCTTTCCTAGGTACAGATATGCTTTCCACTGATGCTGAATCTTATTGCCGTTCCTTTGATGAAGTGGAGAATCTCTCTCATTGTTCCAAAGAAAGTGTAGAAGTAAGTATTCATAAGTTAGAGTTGCATGCTTATCGCTGCACTCTGGAGGCATTATATGCTTCTGGCCCATTAAGTTGGGATAAAGAACTATTATTGACTAATCTCCGCATTATGCTCCATATTTCCAATGATGAACATTTGACAGAGCTGAAGAACCTTATTCCATCTGGTAGTACTCAATAGCCTCTCCAGATATTATTCTTTCTATCGACAGAGGATCTTATATTGTCCCTTTTCTTTACTCAACTGTATGTCAAGCAAGATAACTTAATGTACTTGGTTTATCCTTCTTGGATAACCAAATTTGGTCCATCTATAGAGTTCCTGACAATGTAATTAGGTGTCAACAATTTTCAAAGAAGTGAATGTATTTAGATTGGTTCTTGTTTACTCCTTTTTTGTTTTTACTAGGTTATGCTTGATATACTTATTGTAGTTGAGATGCATATCAGGTGATGGAACAATTTTTTTAAGCTTTAAGCTTAAAGCAGTAGAAGACCTGGTGCAGGTTATTGAAATCATAGTGTCTGATCTAGTGTTGCTGCTGCAGATTAAACATATGATCCATGATTATTCTTGCAGATAAGATAGAATACTTTTTTAGCATTTCCATTTTTCCTTAAAGATGAATTGAATCATGCAGCTTCCAAGAACTATGTCTGTAATTCAAGTATGTTCATTTTTCTTTGAAACTAGGTTTTAGCACCTTATTTTTTGTTTGGTCCGTTGCATCCATTGTCAATGCCAATTCAGAAACTAACTGAATTGAACAGCTAGTTCAAAACTGTTCATTGGTATATCTGGGAAAGGGAAGCTTCAGTTGACTACCAGCCTTGTGGCCTACAATTGAATAGAACTCTCAGACATTTGTTTAATAAGTTAATACTTGCTGTGTACTAAACCTCCTTGGATTGTATTCAATGTTGAATATTGGCCACTTTTGTAAGTATGGTGAGCTTCAGAGTCTTTGCAGTCCACAGCATTTGCGGATGTTTAATAGGCATCAAATGTATGAGATATTCTGTGCAGTTTAGCTAATTGTTTGGTAATGTGTGTATGATCTTTTTGATATGTTATTGACAGTACTCTTTCCCAGGGCTGCATTCTGAAGCATGCATCCCCTGCCTAGTTGCTTCCAAAGCTTTGATGGTGATGCAGGCATTTGGCTAAACAACCTCATTAAATTGTTCTGCCCAACCTTACCTCTTTTTGTGATAGCATCAACATTTTTTCTGCTGAGGGAAGTTAATGATTGTTATCTGCTACTCCTCCCTGATTGTATATATATTGTTAGTTTGGCTAATTATTGATTTCTTTGCATGTGTTTGCTTAGATGCATTAAAGTTCATTTTGTCTTTTATTTTCATTCGACTATTGGATTTCTACTATAACACTAACTGCTTAAATTTGCTTTTGACTATTAACAAGTGAGGAAGTGACCTTGCTTCCATGTTCATGGTGCTGTGGAAAGCAATTAAACTAAGCTTTTCAGAATGGAAATGATTTGAATTGCCTTGTACATTGTCCATCGATTTTCCGGTTTTCTTCAAAGGCGAGAGAGATGAAATACTTTAGTAAATCATTTGAAATGCCTTACATATGTTTGCCTCTATTGCTTTCAAAAGTGGTCTTTTTCAGTTGAGAGATCTATAGTGTACTGCTCGTGCTGTAGTTGAGGAGAATTTAATTCATTGTGTAATACAAAGACACGAAGTTGTGTGAAACATGGGGTTAGGGTTGGGATCTTCAACTATAAGAGGTCCCCTGCACTTGCAATTTGGCCAGATTTATTATTCCATTGCAGAATCGGGCTAGTCATGTGTTTCTGTTGTTTTTGTTTTGAAATTTAAGTAGTTGGTGGTTTGCAACCATCTTTTGCAAAAATCCCTTGAATAATGTTTAAAGTGCTCTCTTTGTGAAGTGCCTAGAAACTAGGGTTGAAACGAATTGATCTTTTTGGCATACTGGTGTTCGCCTTTTCCTTATTCTTGTTTTGTTGGCAAATGACTCGGCAGACATTTAACTATTGGTACTGATTATGCTTCTGGAAATTGGATGCTTTTGATAACCTTGAATATGAGCAGATCTCAGCACTATTGATGTGTTTTCTAGGGGTGGAATGAATTTTTCTAACTTCTTGTTCAACTGTACTGATTAAGGGTTTCCTTATATCAGGGCAGGAAAGTTGAAAAGTTCAAAGGTTTGAATGAGGCTTATAAGGAGTTGAGCATCTCCAGTTTCTTTTTGTCCCGAACGAAGAGAACCAATGGCAGAACTGCTCAATTCTCTTGCAGCTGCTTGGTGATTTTCTGCTTTTGTTGAATAGTACAGTTTCGTGTGCCTTTAGAATTTCTTTCTATTCATACTCAACCCGCGTGCATTTGTCTTCCAGTTTTGCGATTCACTAGCACGATTAAAGTTGGAGACTTGAAGGCTGACAGCATGTTGCCTCTTGGAAGATCTGGATGTGCCCAGGTGCAATGTAGCTGTCAGTCTTCATTTGTACGACTTTTCATAGAATAATTGTTTCGCGTTCACTTTCGCAATTGTGAATACTGGCAGTTTAGTCCCCACGAAGAGCCGGGACATCCTGGACAGACATTAACCTATTAACTTCTATCTTTTAGTTCAGCAACTATATTAGCTCTGGCTTGTATAATCAGCAAGATAGACTATCCTGATGGCTTGCAATCACAAGGAAGTTAAAAAGCAATAAAGACGCCTAATTTTGGGTACCTTCATTGATAGAAAGATTATTACGTTCTTAAATTGAAGTGAGGAACTAGTGGATTTCTGCTGCTGCTGTATGCCCGTGTCGAATATTCATCCATAAGGTACCATGTGTAGTACCTGAGCAATCAAGATAGCAGAAAGCAATAAACAGTAGTCAAAGATGGCTTCTCTGAGCTTTGTGCCTTTACCATTGAATAACTTCACATAAACAGTTTCCGATGGATTGTTTCACAACTTAAAGAAGCGATCTTATACTATGATGGTCCCGAGGACTGCGTTCCTCGTATTCCAAACTAGTGTCATTTCTAGTGAACTCGATGCATTCACAGACAAGTTTTAATCGTTTTATTTATCCACAAGACAATCGGGAATTGAGTTATTCATTATCACCACCTGTTGAATTTTCGAAGACCCGATTACAGCGGCCCAGGGCATCCAGAGGAGAATCTGAACACACATGTAAAGGGGATGTGATCCAGTGCTAGAACAGCATATCTACTGAGTTATACCTGTCTACCTTCCTGCAAGGTTTTACCATCTCTTCAACCACATCATCTATCTCTTCCTCTTCTTTTCCTCTCATTTTCTCACTCAATTCTCTTACTTTTCGCCTGAATCTTTCACCAGTGGTGCTCTTTTCGTCGACCACCTTCCTTATCACGCTTGACACCTGTTCCTTTTCAAGAATTCCTTGCTTGTTTCTCACAACCTCTTCACCTATGCCTAGCTCCTCCACCAGCCTAGCATTCAGTGGCTGGTCAAGGTGCATTGGCACCGCTACTATTGGAACTCCGAACTTGATGCCTTCCATTACTGAGCTCCATCCGCAGTGGCTCACGAATCCCCCGATGCTGGGGTGCTTGAGGATCCTTCCCTGTGGTGCCCATCCCTTCAGCACCATTGCTCGGTGTCCTACTCTCTCAAGAAATCCCTTTGGCAAGGCCTCTTTGAGGCTAATATCCTCTCCTACAGGGAACCTAATAACCCATATGAAATTAACATTGCTGAGCTCCAATCCAAAAGCAATCTGCTCCATATCTTCTCTGGACAGGAAATATTCACTGCCAAAGGAAGCAAATACCGTGGAACCACGATTCTTCTTGCTAAGCCATTCGATGATTTTCGTGGGCGCGTCTTCCATTGCTGGCGCCTGAACGAGGGGACCAACAGGGACAATCTTTTTTTTCGACAAACGGGAAAGATAGTCGATGTATTTTCCCTCTATCTCTCTGCATGTCTTGATCAAAATCATACCAGATGACTGCTCCACACAATTAATAACTCTGTCTGAATCTTTGATGCCACTAGCAGTTGCATCAGCCATTCCAGTTAGCTTATGATTTTCATATTCTCTATAATATATGGAGGAAAAAGGATACTCCGAATCCGGGTTTAACTTATAGTGGACGACGTAGGAAAATGTTGCTGCACCAGTAGAAATAAACGACACAGCTGGAATATTCTGGGCTGACGCCAATGCTGGTACCCATGGCAGGAGGAAATCATACAAAACCATGTCTGGCTTTAGAGTTCTGAGGATGTTATGGAAGCTAGGTTTGGCCATATCTACAGCTTCTTTGAGAGTGGGCATGAGGTTGGGTGGGAGGCCATTGGTTGTGTGGTGATGAGGAGGAAGTTCTGGCAAAGTAGGAACTTGAAGCTCTACTAATTTTATGGAAATGGAGTCCTTTTCAGAAAGATTCTGTTTGAGGGAACTGAGGTTGACTGGTGTAGAACAGACATAGATGTAGAAGTTTCTCTTTGTAAGTGCTTTGGCTAGCTCTAGAAAAGGAGATATGTGACCATGAGCTAACCATGGCAGCATTAAAATCCTGAAACTTCTCTTCCTTGTATCCATGAAACTGGAAACTTTTCTCAACCCTCTCCTTTCTTCAATATAATTATGAAAACATGTGCATGGTATTGGCTGCTTGCATATGATTTTATATTAACATATTCAAGAGGTAGAACTCTATTTTGTTGTTTTCTTTCTGCATGCATCCAAGCGATGTAGGGAAACGTGGCATAGAACATAGCAAAACATGATAACGTGTTGGCCTGGCGAGGGGCAAAGATGGAGTAAAATCTGAGACGTGGAGGCAGAGAAGCTGGCTAGGGATCGGGATGGATTCCTTCTGCTGACTCCAAAGCTGAGACGTGGAAGAAGAGAAGCTGGCTAGGGATCGGGATGGAGTTCTTCTGCTGACGTATTTTAAACCTATGCATCCATCATTAATAGCCTTAAAGATAAGCTAGTATTAATGGCAATCTTTAATTGCTACTCCATTTTTATCGGGAAGATCTTTAGGTGACTGCTCTTGACAAAATTTTTCACATTTTCCTAGGATATCTAGTCCAAACTGATAGGATATGGTTAATTGGTTTTCATTACAAAGCTAAAATTTCTTTTTCTATGGTACAAGAGTTCAGTTCATTATTCGTCAACCTATTTATGATTCTCTTCAAGAATATTTACGAGTCCATATTTGTTTCGAGGGTTTTATCTGCTGGATTCAGTTTCAATTGATGGGAAATGGAAGCCTTAGCCAACTCCACTGATTTCCAACTAGTTCTAAGATGGAAGCTCAGATTTTTTATCTACTCTAAATGGTGATCATATCCGAATTCATATCAACATACTCGTAACATTTGAATAACTGAGAGCATACAAATGAGAATTTTCTGGAGCGTATGCATACACAAATGTAGATTAACCTTCCCACGTACACTATTGCATCAAAATTTTATATTTATATACTTGAATCCAAAATTTGTAGATTCTTGTACGTAGAGTACATGTAAATTTTATAGTGCAAACTTTCGTTTTCTCTCTTTGCAGTATCAGCACTTGCGTATAGCTCTTGTAAAACTCAATTTACACAAGTATTCATCTCTAAAAATAAACAAAAATCAACGAATTGTTTTTTTTACCTCACATCTCTCACATTGCTGAATCGTTATAATTGAAGCAATTTTCGGAAGCCATTGACCAGCAGCATCATCAGCAATTTCTCGCATGAGCCAAGGTTACGATGCCACATTAGTTTATGCCGATCAAAATAATCTGCAAATCTGTTAGATTTTCTCCATTTGCAGTTCCAGTAAAAAATAATCCTACAAAGGGCAAGGGGACAGGACTAAAACCTACCACTACATATAGCACAACCAAAAACTATGACAAAGAAGAGAGTATTAGCTTAAGTTTGTTGGAAAATTCTACTTGTGTGCTCGAATGAAACAGGAGAATCATTGAATATGAATCACAAAAATATCAAGATCCTGATGTTTCCATGGCTAGCTCATGGTCACATATCTCCCTTCTTGGAGCTAGCGACGAACTTAGCAAAAAGAAACTTTAGTATCCAATTTTGTTCCAACCCGACAAATTTGAGCTCCATCAAGAAAAAACTTGCTGTTGATGGAAGTGAAAAATTTTCAAAATCTATGCAACTGGTAGAATTCCATCTCCCAAACTTGCCCGAACTTCCACCCCATTACTACACAACCAAAAGCTTTCCTCCCCGTCTCATGCCCACATTGAAAAAGGCCTTTGAGATGGCAGAGCCGGACTTCTCTAACCTCCTCAAACAACTGAAGCCAGATTTAGTCATAAATGATATCATCCAACCATGGGTTCCAGAAACTGCTTTGCAGCATAACATTCCCGCAGTTGAGTTCGTAAGCACAGGTGCAGCAATGACTTCTTCCATGTTTCATGCAATAAAAAAATCCAGGTGCAGATTTCCCTTTGCCAGAAATTTATGTTCATGATTATGAGAAATCCCAGATTGCTCATTTGATGGAATCAGCTTTGGACCCGGAGAAAGACAAAGACCGTCCGATTGAATGCTTGGAAAGGTCTTGTGACATCATTTTGATCAACAATTAAAGAACTTGAAGGGAAGTATTTTGATTATCTTTCTGTTTCTGATTTACTGGAGAAAAAGATTGTACCTGTTGGATCGCTTGTAGAAGATATTGTTGTTGAAGACCATCAGGAGATCAATACAAATACTGGTAGTATCTTAGATTGGCTCAATCAGAAAGACAAATATTCGACTGTTTTTGTTTGTTTTGGAAGTGAGTTGTTTTTGTCCAAAGAGGGAATGGAAGAGGTAGCCATTGGTTTGGAGCCGAGTGATGTTAATTTTATTTGGGTGGTTAGGCTTCCAAAAGGAGAGGAAATAAGGGTTGAAGAAGTATTGCCTGAAGGTTTTCTTGAAAGGGTTGGAGAGAACGGAATGGTGGTGTGAGGATGGGCTCCTCAGGCAAAGATTTTAAAGCATGAAAATATTGGCGGTTTTGTTAGTCATTGTGGATGGAGTTCTGTGATGGAGGCTATGAAGTCTGGTGTTCCAATTATAGCTGTACCATTGGTAAATGATCAGCCCGTAAATGCTAGAGTGTTGGAGAATGTTGGAGCAGGGTTGGAGGTTGTGAAGATGAATATGGCAGAATTCAAAGAGGAAAGTTGGCAGAAGCAATTAAACAAGTCATGGGAGAGGAAACTGGAGAAACTCTGAGGAGGAAAGCAAGATCACTGAGTCAGAAAATAAGAAGCAAAGGTGAGGAAGAAATTGATGGGGTTGTAGAGGAGTTGGCGAAGGCTTGCAATAAATGAAAGAAATAAAGAAGCCTGGTAACTTAAATTTGGCTTCCAGACTTCCCAGTTGATCTCAATCCGTGTAAGATGGCTCAAAAATCTAGCAGCCAGTATGCACCAGCCTAAGAAAAATTGCAGTATCATATTAAAGTAATAACTAGGAAATTTTAGTTAGAGACTGACTTAATTATTTGTAATTAGATAGTCTAGCATTGCATTTTGTACTCAGTTCGTATCTCAAATTTCTGTTAGAGATGGAAATTGTGGTAATAGTTCCAGTTTCAATTCTAATTTTGAGATTCAGCGCAGAGGAAAATATGATCAAATTTTTGGAGGAGGGAAAGAGAGTAGTGATTCAAGAAGGGGAAATTAACTAGTTATTTATACTATTACGGTAATACTAGTAAAACTTTTGAGTAATAATCCATCAACTAATATCTCAAATTAGCCACTAAAAACTTCTTGAAAGCAAAACTTGGGAACCTCATATATACTACTACAAGGCCCCCATAACAACCAAAACGAATAAACTCTCGATCAATCAGAAGTTTTTTACGTCCTTCATCTTTTTCTCGAGACAAAGCTGGACCAATTCATCCACCACTACATCAATCTCTTCGTCTCCTTTCACTTCAATCTTGTTTGACAGACTTCGAGCGCGTTCCCTTACAAGTTGGCCAATTTCTTCATGCATCACTTGTTTGATGACTGCAGCAACTTTCTCTCGCCCAAGAGTTCCATCATCCTCTCTCAGAACCTCCACACCAGCACCAACCTCTTCGATCAGCCTAGCATTGACTGGTTGGTCGAGGTGCATGGGAATGGCTACAATTGGGACGCCAGATTTCATACTCTCCATGACTGAATTCCACCCACAATGGCTCACAAATCCCCCAACACTAGAATGGCCCAAAATTTTTGCCTGTGGTACCCATCCATCCACAACCATTCCCCTCTCTCCTACCCTGGCCAGAAACCCTTTTGGCAACGCTTCCTCAAGTTGAAGATTCTCTCCTTTTGGATACCTAATAGCCCATATAAAGTTAACGTTGCTAAGCTCGAGCCCGTGAGCTATTTCTTCCCTGTCTTCCTGGGACAGAAAATACTCAGTTCCAAAGCAAACAAAAACTGTCGATTTCTTTTCTTTTTTGTCAAGCCATTCCATGATCTCCAAATTATCATCACTATTACCATGGGTACTACTAGGGTCCTGAACAAGTGGACCAACCGGTACTACTTTCTTGCCAGATAACAGCGAAAGATAATCAATATATTTACCCTCAATCTCCTTGAAACTCTTGATCAAAATAATTTTGGAAGAGAGTTGGAGGCTTTGGACAACACGATTTATCTCTTTAGAACGAAATTTGACATCATCGTGCAACTTGTTGGCAAGAATAGCCTCAAGATCTCCGTGGAAAATATTCGAGAAGGGAAACTTGGTACCTGGATTGTTCTTGAGGACATGCAACATGAAGGAAGTCATCGTTGTACTACTGCTAATGAACTCAACAGCAGGGATATTAAGGGCTGATGCAGCCGTTGGTGCCCATGGCTGGAGCATATCATATACGAGCAAATCAGGCTCTATGGTTTCCAAAATCTTGATGAAGTTAGGACTTGCCATGTCAAAGGCCTGTTTTAGAGTGGCCATGAGATGGCTTGGAAGACCATTGGTTGTGTGGTACTCAGGAGGAAGGCCTGGCAAAGTTGGAAGATGGAGTTCTACGAGTTGAATTGACGCAGAAAAATTTTCAGCAAGTTTTGGCTTGATTGAAACCAGGCATGCTGGCGTAGAGCACAAGTAAACCTTGAAGTTTCTCTGGCTAAGCTTTTTGGCTAGTTCTAGGAAAGGGGAGATGTGTCCATGTGCCAACCATGGGAACATGAGAACACTGAAGGAGTCTTGGTGATATTCCATGATTCGGCTAGCTGTAGAACAATAACAGGAGAAGCTTAGTTGGTTTCTTCCCGAGGGTTTTCTTGCAGTGGAGAAAGTAATTTCGGTGCTGCGAAGGAGAGGGAAGGGACATATTTATCAAGGCTTTGGGCGTTGCATAAATGGAAGTTTCTTCATTGATGGTAGATTTTTAATTATAGGAATAGAAATATTTTGTGTAATTTTCAGAATCAGAATGTTAATGGCAATACAGTCATGAATATGTCAGGTTTCCTTCCGCGCGATAGATACTAAATTCTCCCCCTATTTGTGCAAACATATGCTGAAATTGAAGAGGCCGTTACTGAGATGGAAGAGAGACTAGAGGCTGTTTTCTTTCGAAAGAAGAAATTACCATTGAAGATCTTT